AATATTTATATATTTGTTGCACTTTTGCGAAATATTAATGCATATGTGCATTCGTTTGTACATGCTTGTGTAATATGTGTTCTTTCGGTACGTAGTTTGTTATTTGTATTGCTTAAAAGATTGTCTTAAGTATGAATGTCTATATCACTGTTCAATAGTGAGAATTATGGCTTAAGAAACTTTGAAAGTAGCCCGCTGGGGGGCCGTTTTTTCGATCACATGATTCCAAATCTTTATCCTGGTCATTTGAAATCTTATTTGTCACATTCTTCTCACTGGTCCAATAGTCCGCGGTGGTCTCTGTTGGAGACTGATTCCAAGTTGTACTACTGCATAGTGCTTTCACTTTGTGTGCCTCCCTTTTAAGCTACTATATTTCATGATTGATCAATTATTGTCATTGATCCACAACATCTCATCTTTTGCCACAACATCTCATCTTTTACCTCCATGTATTTTACCTCCCATGTACTTATCTACTGTACTTGATATCCCTTTAGGAAGATTATCAAGTCATTCAATCTCACCCAATAGTCGATTATACCTGATTCAATGATTTACGCACCCCCTTATCGTCCCTTCATATTTTCTGCCCCTCCATACAGCTCACCTCATGCCAAACATCAACAAGGGCCTCCTACACAGAGCATTCAGCGTTTTCTTGTTCAACACGGAAGGCAAACTTCTCCTACAACAACGTGCCACTGAGAAGATCACATTCCCTGACTGTTGGACTAACACGTGTTGCAGTCACCCGCTCAGTCGGCCCGAGGAGATACTGACCAAGGATCAGATGGGTATGTGTATGTGTAGTTCTAAGGGAGGGCACAGACGCACATGCAAAGGCACACGCACACACTCAAATAGATACATAGACATGTAGATACATAGTTACATATACCAAGGATCAGATGGTTATGTGTATTGTGTAGTTTTGAGGGAGGATGTGCATGTGTGGTGTACTGTTCGGCAATACCATTTATATGGTGTCCGGTGTCGGATGTTCAGTGTTGAATCTCTCATCGTTGCGTGTTATTGTTCCGTTGAATTAGGGACAAAAAGTGTGTCTATTGTCACTTTGGTCGGCTCGATGGTGCACTGATAAATCAGTAGATGTGTATGTTTATTAATAGAGTACACGATTTCCGTTGAAATGCCCACGACTATTTCAGGTGCACCCGTAACCCACCCTCGCTGAGAATTTGAACTAGTTTTGTGTGTTGAGCATGGGCTTGTAGGATTTATCATCGCGCTTTGTATGTTTAACTCGAATGTGCTACAGTGATGGATATATACACTACATGTATTATGTGTTGTCATACACGTGCTAATATACATACATATATATATATATATATTGAATTTAGAATACTTTTTTTAAGGACTGTAGTACTACAACTAAACAGCATTATTAGGAATCTCCAGGTGTCGTTAGTCCGACCCATTTGAATTTGTACTTGCAACTCGCAGTTTTTTGATCGACTATAATATATATATATAGCCTGACAAGTACATCGTCCTGACGGGTATTACTACCACTCTGTAGGCGCCAAGAACGCCGCTGTGCGAAAGTTAGACCACGAGCTGGGTATCACTGGAGTGACTACAGACCAGCTCGAATTCCTGACCCGAATCCAGTACATGGCCCCCTCGGATGGCATGTGGGGTGAGCACGAGATCGACTACATTCTGTTCGCACAGTGCGATGTAGAGGTGCACGCCAACGAGAACGAGGTTCGCGCGTACAAATACGTAACGCAGGTATGGCCACGGAATTGATATGTATGTGTATATATAATATATGTTTGCGCTATGGAAATTTGTATATTGTAGATGGTGCTCTGTTGTTGATCCGGATATTAACTGTATCATGTTCACGCTATGCTATGTAGAGTTTCATGTGTATGTTAGCTATAATCCAAAGAAGCGTACTATAAACCGAAACGTCGAACGTACAACATACCATCGACCCATATTCCTTCTGCACTACAAGAATCATGTGTATATCCAAGCAAAGAAAACAATACTCACTTCAAATAGGCGAGCAGAAGGGATTCACCGGATTTTTTTGACATGACGTATATATATAATTATATTTATCAAGTGTATATATCGATATTTAATAGTGTATATATATGTATATATATATATATACATATATACACATATATACATATATACATTATTAAATATCGATATATACACATGATAAATATATATTTATATATATACGTCATGTCAAATATATATATATATATATATATTGTTATTGTCATCATTATTAATATTATTATTATCATCACTATTATTTTCATTGAAGTTTTCACGTACCAGTTAGAAGCGGCCTTCCTCTTGAGCTTAGATAAGTACGGGTAATTCATAAGCCCTTCATTGGCAAATACATATCTGAAGAAATAGTCTTACATGTGATTTTCATTGGCAGAGGATATAGTCTGTATTGTTTCTTCTGATCAGTGGTCGATGTTGGATACGTATATGATGATCGATACTCACTCTGATTCTTCTTGCACGAATACTTTATTATTCTTATTACGGATATGATGTGTTTTTGTTCTCTTAAGCTCGTGTATCTAATTAATTTTGTTACAGGATGAGCTCAAAGACCTATTCAGACAATCGGAAACTGACGAGAGTGTTAAAATCACCCCATGGTTTAAACTCATTTGCGAGACCTTGCTGTATAAGTGGTGGGACAACCTTGCATGCTTGCAGAAAGTGAAGGATGTAGAGACCATCCACAGGTTCTAAACTAAACATTTCCAAATAAAATATAAGTGCAATTATCTGCGTAGTTTTATCTTTTGTTCATATGGAGTCAAGGGCGACCATGCTGCGTAGGTTGTAGGTCAATAATGGCTGTGGATTGCGCTCTTACACGTTTCAATTTGTTGCGTTGGGTGATTGAACCCTTCTTATAAAATCATGTGCATAAACTTACATAATGATATCTGGCCAAAACCGCCTCAGCATCCTTTAGCCCGATTTGTTACCTATACCCTTTCTAATGTTTATTAAAGTCGGCTCCATTCACCCCTGGGCAAGTGGGACATCTCTACTCACTCCCTAGCAGGCGCAATGCACCCAATATATTTCTCGACGGAATTGTGTAAAAAAAATTTAAACTAATATGAACCCGACGGTCACCCTTGACAGAAGGATACCAAAACCACCTTATTGTAAGAGTCAACTGCACACATCGACACAAGTTGAGACAGATTCCGCGCTTTGGCCAAAACTTTCTAAGAACAATTTTTTTTTCACCGACTATAATATGAAGTCTCTCCAGCAACGCTGGATCCATCTATTCACACGGAATCATTTTTGCATGTACAGCTCAACGATCTTGCTTATATATGCTATCAAAGCGCCACTTACCTGAAATATTCACAGGTTTGTATTCATGCACGATACGAAATAGTCATGAACTGATTTTTCAGACAAAAGCAAAGTCTCCGCATCCCTATACAGTGTTAGTACGGCTCTTGTGTATGTTCTGGTACTTCATGTGGATACATACATTTGGGAAAATGTTTATTCAGCAATACAGCAAATTTAACATGTTGCATCGAATGCGGCCTCGGAGGCTCGGGCGAATATTCATCATAAACTTATATTATTTTCTGCATGATGTCGTTCATTGTTCTACTATACATGTAAATAAGATCTCTATTTCGTATATATTGATAAATAATTGGAAGCGTAAGCGTTTGCATAATTTTCAACACATGTGGTATCTGAAGATCATTTTGTGAGCGATTATTACTATATGCTTTGAAAATATTTATATTCTGGATGATTTTTGTCAACCATTGTCCTACTAACCATGTAAGATTTCTTTTTCGTCTATACTAAATTATTCGGATACTTAAGTATTCCCTTTCCAACACATGTGGTATTTGAAGGTTTTTTCGTAAGCGATTCATTCACATCCACAATTTAACTGTCTGCGATGATGCTCGGCGTTATCTGTCGCCTTTTCAGGCAATCGACGACATTGCATTGATCCTTTTCACACTCTTTCATTACGTTGTCAGCCAAGCACTGCTCATATTCCCGGTTAGGTGTTCTAGTAATAGATGAAGTCTCCTTTGTATCTGCTAAACAATTATATTACGTCAATAGACGACTTCAAGAAATTTATAACAATGATGCCGATCTATTTGGCGGTATAAGCATAGTTCTAATGGGAGATTTAAAACAACTTCCTCCGTGTAAACAGCAAGCAGTTCACAAAACAATGTTACATTGTACCAACAGAACCAATGAAGTAGCTGCCAAGCATATACTGAAACAATTCACCGTATATGAATACACCACACAGCACTGCACGCAAGACCTCACACACAGGGCTCTTTAAACCAATTCGAACCAAAAAGTACAATATCAGGAGAAAACTTCATGCATTTTCAAACTCTCACACCACAACTAGTTAAGTCAGATCCTGAACGATGGTTGACTGCTCCATATGCATGTCTAGTGAACAAAGAACGCAGAGCTATAAATGATTTACGTGTACGACAATATAGTAAGGCTACTAGAATCCCATTTATATAAATTTCAAAGGCATCTACGAGGCGACAAAGACGATAATTCTCAACTTTCTGAGGACAGACCTTCGTTTCCCCCGGATTATATCAATACTTTACTGAATCACTACCCATAATTCCAACAAAAAATATATGTGTCCAGTATGGGCTAGCGAATGGAACTCGTGCAATATTAAAAAACTTCATATACAAACAACCACAGAAGCAAAAAGAGTTCGATAACTTTAAACATACGGCCGAAATCGGTATCTCTTTAATCATTCCTACATCAGATTATATAATCATCCAACCAGAAACTGGCATCACCAACCGTGTACCCTTAGACAAACAAATTTTCGTATCCGATCGCATTCATAATTTAGTACCTATAGGTTTATCCGACATGGATTTCGAGCCCAATCGTACTTCTGTCACGAGGGAAACTCTTCAAGGGGGCAAAGTGTATGTCAATGCCTTCCCATATTCACATGCTTTGGCCTTGACTATTCATAAACTCCAAGGTCAGACAAGACAATACCTGAACACAAATCAATCATTATCAATCTTCAGAATAGGCCTGGAAAACGTTTAGGACGCATGTCTTATAAGCATCTATATGTAATGCTATCAAGAGTAAAGTTTACATCAAACTGCTACTACACATACATTAACCTTAGATATTCTTAAGTATCTCAACAAATTGAAATGTCCTTCAGGCTATAAAATATGGTTATCATCAGCAAGGACTAAAAATAGTTTTACAAGGAAACTCCCTCCATGTACAACACGCAGTCATAATCATTAATGAAACCATATGCAAACAAAATATATACCACCCCCGTTGTCAGCTCGTGATGAGAACAACATATTTAGAAACTTAAAACTTGGCCGGTTAGGGTTTAGGGTTTTTAGGGTTGGCTTCGTCGCCACTAAATTCCAATTTACCAGCCAGCCATCTGGATATGAGCACCAGTAGCAACATAACTGGAATCTCAATCAGTGGCCCCACTACAGCTGCCAAAGCTTGCTGAGAGATCGCACCATACAGAGCGATTACCAATGCTAGCGCCAACTCGAAGATATTGCCTGCTGCCGTAAAAGCGATGGCCAAGGTTTTGCCGTAGGACAAATTCGATTTCCAGCACAGCATGAACGACCCATCAAACATGATTAGGAAATACAGTATCAGGGATACAGCGACAAGTAACACACTAACGATGTCATCTACCATTTGTGAGCCCGACATGGCAAAAGTTACAACAATGACAACGAGGAGTGAGCACAGTGCAAGTGGTCCAATTGTGTTGGCAAATTTTGTGTACTTGGTTTTGACCAGAACTCTCTGTCCTATGACCCATGTTCCAAATCCAAGCGCGAAAGGAATACCAAGGTAGATCGCCACACTTTCCAATACTAGTAGGAACGACTCTGCTATAGAAATATCCGACCCAGTATCACTACTGATATCAATAGCCGGCAGGAAGATTTGGATAATCAACAGCTCGTATACGAAATACAGTAAAAACTGTAGTACACTATTAATCAGCACCAGGGTAACAGCCAGGTCCATCTCTGCACCCGCCAACTCGCACCAAACTAGCACCATCGCAATGTACCGGGCAATACCAATTAACACAAGTCCTTGCAGCAGTTCTGGGTGGTTGTGTGGGACTGCCAAGCTCAAAAACGTCATCAGCCATGGACACACAAACCAGTTCAAACTGACTGACGTTAACACCGCCTTGGGCTGCTTGAAGATCTGACCTACACGTCCGTAGTCGATTCGTATCAGAGGTGGGTACATTATTACAATCAGGCCAATGACCAAAAATATGTTTGTCTCTCCACCGAATGTTGCACCCGATAAGAAGTCCGACACCCCCGGTATGTATGGTAACCCCATACCGAGACCTACCGCCAGCGCAATCCAAAGGGTCAACAAACGATCGACCCAACCCAACTTTTCAAATTGAACAGTCATAATATATATAGCTGTTAGAGACGATTGTATGATCTAATTTTGTTAGTGTTTGTGATTTTTGTTATTAAAAATATTTTTGATCCAAACACTTCAGTTTATATAGCACCGACAGTACGTATGTACTTAATATCCATGATGTCATACGAGTATCACTCCTGGGAGACCACTTTGATCAATTGACTACTAAAAGTTACAACTAACAACTCACAGAGTCACAAGTGATACCACTGACTAGTGTGTACTGAGTAGTGACTCACCACTAATTTAAGAGTCATGAGAGTTAAAATTGAATACGGACCGATAACAACCGAAGCTAAGCTCATTACGTTTGTCGTTGTGCCTTTGGGGATATGTACGGAATAAAAGTTGAACGTAAACGATATTTATTCAATTTTAAAACGTTATAACGATTATAATGTGATCAGAAGGGCCTACCTAAGTTCTTTTTATAGGACTGGTTCGTATCGCGAGCACGGTACACACTTAAATCTTTAGACCCGCAAGGTGCACCTGTGAGCATACAAGGATCGTATATGGAATTAAAGTTGAACGTATACGTAAATTAATAAGTTGTAACGGAAAACGGTTTGAAGTTAGTACTAAAATTAAAAGCAGACAAAAGTATTTAATAGTTAATTATTTATATAGTACGCTCTGCGCTGTAGTCTGTAGTCTGTACGGCACTCGGGCACTCGGGGTGACAGTCTCGACATTTTTTTTTTGTCTGAATAGTATAAATATTCGGTGAATACTGATTATGTACTGATAATAGTGATTACATCAGTACTGATTCAGTGATTCGGGATTCGAGATTTCCGGGCGATTCCGTGGGGTCCCGGAATTTCAATGCTAGAAGAAACAACTGTTGGACCAATGGTTTTGCAGTAAAATTACAAAAGCATCCTGTATTTATTTTGACCCGGTAATAATTCAAATTTTCCAACAGACCAGTCCAACACAGAGCTACATTCTCAGAATTGAGATGTTCTAAACTTCTATGAGAGTATTTATGTCTATTATCCTATAATAAACACAAATAACTAAGTTACCTTTCCCCTAGAGAGAAAAATGGATGAGCACACGGTGATTGTCAGCAGGAATGCTTGTAGACAATAGACCTTGGGACTGTCCCACCGGATGATGAGAGTGTGACCTATTGGCTACACGTGTTCGTGGTTAGTTGACCTCACCTTACCAGGCGCTAGTATGGAGAAGGCCACGAGGGAAGGTTGACATAGTTGATGTCAGGCTGAAAAGCGAAAAAGCTAAGGATAGACGGCTGAACACACATAAATATAAGAGACATACACAGTAGTGCCCCGAGTATTCAGCTAAAAAGCTCGGAGGCACAATCCATATTAAAACGTTGACATTTTTACGTCGTGTTAGCATCTACTCTCTAAATCAATATATTGAAAAAGATACGCAATTTGCAAGTGGCCATTGCTATCAATTTGTTCGAGAGCTTGAAAAATGTAAACAACAGCTTTTTTATCAAATATCAAGAACACCATTCATTCCAAATGAGAGATAAGTTTTCTGAGCCGTTCTGTGGTGGGTGAATGCCCAAATCCATCGGACACGGAATTATGTCGAATTTCTTGCAAGTTGTATGTTACTTGCACCGAGCACGATACATAAGACTTGGCAAACAGGAAGCGCACAATTTAAATAATGGGTGTACATATACACACAGGCCTAATTCTGTGATATGCTATAAACAGGAAGGAAGCGAACAAGTTAAATAATGGCTGTACATAAACTCACAGGCCTAATTCTGTGATAAGTTAGATACATAAAGATCTATATATAGTGTATGTATAGCCTGCGCGAATGTCTAAGCGTCTCACATCCGCATCAGTGGTATGTCCTTTACAAGTGTAGAATATGTGCGAAGTTTGTGTGAACGGAAGTATGAGACATACAAATGGAGAACAAACCCACTATAAAGCATCCAATTTGAAAAACCAAGACCAGAACCTAAACGAACAGCACAAAGACGCTTCACCAAAGCAAGCCCTTTATCATCCCCCCAATCCCACAAAGCAAGTAGACAGTCACCTATAAATAGCAATTCTGGTCCCGAGTTAACAAAAAATTATGCACCAACGCTAACGAGCAGCCAACATATATCACGATCATGGAATCGCATCATAGTACATATGAGTATGTCAATATCATCGCAAAACACTCAACCGGAAACCGCACGGTTGGTCAGTCGCAGTTGGGTGTACTATATGTATTATCTAATTTCTAAATTGCGATGCTAGCACGCCCTCGGTGCAAGAGAGGCCACTATGTCCAAGAGCGCGCGTTTTGCGGGGCTTTCATATAGATCCGCAATCGCATGCCGGGCTTGTCCGCAATGGACCTCGATAAGATCATCAATCACACCCGCAGGTCTGGAGTCAGTCGCTTCGCGATGTAACTGGATAACCAAATATAATAGCAGCGATGGCCCTAGTGTTACTAGTAGATACACAGAACTTCAGTTGACTCACGATGCAACAAGTAGATATATTAAAGGAGACAGTCCGATCTGAATATAGCACAAACACTGGGGCGGAATCGCATTTGGGTGATGAGATGCCAAGGGCAGGTACAAAGAATGACTGAGAGGACACAAGAAGCACTACTACATAGATGGCAGATGGGCGTATAGCGTAAGCCGAGCTGTATACATGCAATTGACAAGACTACGATGAAACTGCAGCGAGCATACTAAACGAGAGGTCACAGAATCAACCTGTGGCCCCAGCTACAGTGAGACATCTACAGAAGAAATAGCACAGGGGCTCTGACGACCCACTACAGCAATATAAAAAAGCGCGACAAATGTGTAGAGATCCTGAGAAGTGTGTACAGATGCACAATAATATAACACTGAAACCGAATATAAACGATAGATTTTTCTTAAAGCCAAACATGGTAGGCAACAGGTCCATACAAGTTGCGGAGGGCTGCTTCCATATATAGGAACCGCAGCCGTAGAACATTTTCAAGCTAGCACATGGTATAGGCAGTAACGATTGTTGTGATGATTGTGCTGAGATGAATATGAAGCCGCCGATAGACATGCCAGATTCGCAGACATGAAGCACGTACAATACGAGTATACCTGGTCTCTGGTAGTGCATATGCTGCATGTGTAACGACACAGCACATTGCAAATCGAACCAACCAAGACAACTACCATCCTAACCAAACATTCAGGTACCCCCACTCAACACAAAAATGGACACACGCAAAAATAAATAAATACATCCAACTCGACTTCACACAACCACAGCGTAATGTATACACAGCCCAGCGATCTTCATCAAATCGTCCACAAGACCCACCTGATAAGCGATTCCCAGATGTTTGCCATATAAGAAAGCCATCTCCTCTACTTTAGCGGTAGTACCCACAAGTATAGCCACAGCCCTGCAGCTATTCGCGATCAAACTACCCATACTAAGATAGACACCCTGCACGAACTCATCCGCACCAACGTGCTTGTCCCCGCCCCCTATCGTAACCACACGCTCATCCGTGTGTTCTGGAGGTGCATCCTCCGTGCCGTGAGTGGAGAGAGCCCGCACAGATGTGTGCATGTGAGTGTCTATGGGTAAACGGGGAACTGTACTTGCCGATGAAGCTGCCTGAGCGTGTGTGTTCGTGAGGGTGTGGGTGCGTGCATGTGTCGACGTGTGCTGGTCTGCAGACTCCACCACAGGTCGCGAACGCGCGTCCGCCGCTCCTTCCGATTGGTTCCTAGTACTAATGTCCCGCTTTAATAGCGGGACGTCCGTCTTGGAAACCGTTAATTCAGTCTTTCTGGCTCCCCCTTCACTCAGCTGTGCGAGTGCATGTGACATCACTGACGCCACTCTAGCACTCTGTAGCTTTGCCAGCATCACACTCGACTTGGCCAGTAGGAAGTCACCCGTCAACACAGATATCTAGGAGTCCATGGTGTATGAGCAAATCGGGCGGGGTTTGAGAGATGAATACATACACGACTTTTACCACTCTTTCACTTTGGTGCAGAATTTAAACTTGTGCAAGGCGGCGAGAGTCCATGACGTATTGGATAACAAAATTGATACACAAGCACAATAGTATACATTCGAAGCTTTCAATATATGTGAAAGTGAACCATGCAGTTGTGTAGTTGATATGATTTAAGTGAATATTCGGGTTGCTAGAGTATTGCAGCATCCTACAGGCCGAGTGAAATGAATGTTTTGTAATTGAATATATATATATATATCATTGTGTTTGAATATGTACATGAAAGTGCTTTCGCAGTTCATTCCCTTGTGCGGCGAATGAGGGCAGAAATCGGAGGCGGCGAGCCAAGCAGATGTCCAAGATACTAACAAATCCGTTCTCATGATGGTATATAACCGAAATGAGCATCTGTTTCTATGGTTATTGCTTGCTTGGTGCACATATGTATATACATACTTATATGTGCGAGTGTATGCATATGTGTGTGATGTCATGTACGCTGATGTTCACGTATTTATGTAAACCATCATGTTTCCTGGCGCAAGATATATGTACAGAAAATATAGTTCCAGCCATTTCTTACATTAAACGGGTGTACAGTTCCTAATATGTACACATCATCCACTCACATACATATAGAAAATCGATGGTATATATAAATATAAATAGATACAGATATACATACATACATACACACATGCATATATATATATCTATATATACACACATATATATATATATATAAATACATACATACGTACATACATACATACACACATCATATAAATATATATATATATATATATTGCCGTGGTTATGTATATACATGTACGTCTTAGCACCTTATTTCCTGATGCTGCGAGCGGGGGCAGGAGGTCTGTGTCCTGGGTCCTACTGACGTCCACAATGTTTGTGTGGATGAGCGATCCCACGAACATCATCTCCGTAAGGGTCGCCAACTCCTGATGCTTCACTTCAATCTGGGATAAAGAAGCCCCTGTGCGCCATAGGGGATGAGTGGCGGAGAAGTGTAGTTTCGTAAAATGTTGAGCGTAAGGGTTAGTATAGCACACAGTAGACTTTCACAGAATCCTACGTTGCGCATGGTCTGTCGCACATATCAGACACCAACGAGCAATGGCAACACACGTGGGTTCTGTCCAGCGCGGCGCTACTAACAGGACACTTACAACATGCGCTATATATATCAAAGTCAAGATTAGAATAACATACAATCCAGACATGTACAAGAATAGGCAAATGCATTCTCCCATCACAGGCTATGGGTCAAGCAAGCGTACGGACAAGTCGGGCAACTTCCGATTCAATAGGAAAGGAAAACATTGTACGTGTACGAGTAACTTAAATAAATAAGATACCTGCTTCTGTTGGTGGTACACTATCAGTTTGCACTGCTCGCCCCATCAGCAGCACAATAACCGGCCGGAAAGCATGTCCGTTGCGCTGAAACAGGCTGTAGCCCGTTTAAATGCAGATGCAAGGGTTAAAAACTTATGACATGCTGCAGTTGATTGGCTGTATGAAAAATGACGCAATGTCACGATGCTTATTGGCTGAGGGAATGTCGGACATCTCTATAAATATATACCTTGAAGACAAACATCTATATATATATACTTCGAAGACATACATCTATAGAGATATACTTTGAAGACGTACATCTATAGTTATATACTTTGAAGACGTACATCTATAGTTATATACTTTGAAGACGTACATCTATAGATAAATACTTTGAAGACGTACATCTATAGTTATATACTTTGAAGACGTACATCTATAAATAAATACTTTGACGACGTACATCTATAGAGATATACTTTGAAGGCGTATATCTATAGATATATACTTTGAAGACGTACATCTATAGATATATACTTTGAAGTCGGTATATTTGAACACCAGGCTGCCATACCTTGTTTGTATAGTGGGAGACGAAAGAAACTCTAAAACATATCGAAAAAAAGAGGTCTGGACAAGTGAGACATACTGCGATAATAGCTGCATCGGCTGATGGCGGTAGAAGCTGCACTTAGGCAGTATCTAGGAGATAGTGCCTAGTACTTGTGGATGGAGACAAACACACAAACACACACACATATATATATATATATATACATATATATATATGTCC